GTAATAGTAATAGAAAGTGATTCTTTGTAATTTGGTATCATGTTTGTGCCTCTTAATTTATTCAAGTTTTGGAGGTTTCTCCATCTTTTCCCCAGTGTTAGTATTTATGTAAATATTTTCACATAATAGATTTAGAATTTTTCACACGTTATATTTATAATTTCACTTTTTGTGGTGGCTATTACATTAGGTTGTTTACTATTATTGGTGCACACATTTGGTAAACACCTCATGTTTATTTGGATCGTTATCTATTTTGTTTTGCTGAGTTTAAAGGACTGGCTTTGGGAGAGGACTGATTGTAAGGCAAACCAGGAAGTCGAACAATCCATCAGGCTGCTGGAAGCAGGGGACTTGATGATCAAGAGTCTGCCTCTCCCTACTAATACCACAACTGCTACAATATTTTTGGTGTCAGGTTGCTTTAACAGTACTGTTAAAGTCAAAATGTTTTAGTTTAAATTTGTTATTTATGTTTATGCATCGTTTGTCTTTGTCTCATCTCCCACCCATCCTCCTTTGTGTAGTCTAGCCTTTGTGCATGAATTCCCCTGTGTGTTCATTGTGTGAAGTCAGATTTGGTTTGTTAACCTGAGTTAGGTTTGCCTTATTTGATGATTTCTTGTAGGGCCATTTTGATATATTTTTGAGATTTGTTGGTGAAAGTCTTTTGTGAAGATTTTTTGGAAAAATAAATAGAAAATATTTTTTCATATATGCCTTTGTCCTTGTGCCTTACTGATTGGACTGTAACACAAGGCAAGAGAGTTTGTGGTCAAGTCTGCCAACAACATTTGTGAGGTACGTGCAGCAATTGTGTTAATGAGCTTACACTTAAGTCTAGCAGGGCCTTTTGATGTTTGCAGTGACACTCATCAATGAGAATCTTCAGGTTCTGGATCTGATGAGCTTAAATAAACCCAGATACCTCATTTTGTCTTCTAGACATTCATTGCTTACCCAAGCATAATGATAAAGGCTCAGATCAGTGGATTATTTTGCTGAACATGTAATTACATTCTGCCACTTTATTTTCTTTATTTCATTTAGGTAATACTGTAAAAAAAATGTAATCCAATAGCCACACATACATTTTATTTTTTTAAATCCAAATCAAAAGTAATATTCAAATCACAAGTTAATAATATGTAGTTCTGTTATTTCACACAGAAAGCTGAACACCGCTGCACCGTTTCTCTCTTGTTTATTACTGTCCGTATTTCAGAAAAACAAGTTGTTAACAGTAGGGCTGGGCCGGGCTATATCGCAACCATCGAGTATAAATTGTCATTCAAATAATAAACTTTATAATAAACTTTCACCGTCAAATTCACTGTGAGTATGGTTTATCCGACACCCTATGAAGGTATCACTAGTCCCTTCCCCCTCCCAATATGGAATTTTCTACCAATCACGCTGCTCGGAGAAAGCAAACAACATGGTGACAATGAGAGTTTGAGGCGAGCGGGTGAATGAGACGGTAACTGAAGAGGAGTCAGATGAACTCGTCTAGTTCCGAAGAGAAACAGCGCTGGAACAATACTTTGGCAGTAGTTCAGATTTTATATGGAGGATGTCAAACAAAATGAGGTAATTTGCGAAACATGTTGTAAAACTATTGCCACAAAAGGCTGTACCATAAATTTATTTCACCAACTAATAAGACTATTGTTTAACATGCCGTTCCATTAAAGTGAAACCTGTAGACGTAAGTATGATTCATTTAGTGCTATGCAATGGGAAAAATAACTCAAAACCATTCTTTTTTTCTCGCTCCCCATGTTGGCTTTACATGTAGACACGTTGCCATAGCAACTGAAGACAACGCAACTTTATGTGTTAGGATTCAGCACTAAAAACACTCAAATATTGCCCTCACACAGAACATAACATTCAATTTGTTACAGTTTTGGGTTTTTAGGCTTGATGTGTATTTTGCTAATTTTATTAATGAGTGATTGCTGTGGTAGATTAGCTATCTATCAGTCAATAGCAGCGGTGGCTGATTAGCTAATTTAAACACCTGCTTTACTGATGATCTGTCAGTTTGTGTGTAGGTCGCCTTTTTATTTTTAAGCTGAACCAAAACACACCTTATTCCACACCAAATCTATGTTAAGTTTGTCAAAGTCAAGCATAACTGATCTACTTCTCTTTCCCTCACTATTTTTTTCTTAGTTAAAACTTATTTCTCACCTTGTTATCTAGTCATAGTGTAGACAGTTCATAGCAAAACACTGCATCTCTTTTTATATGAGCTTACATTTAAGTCTAGCAGGGAAATGGAGGCAGGAACTTGCGTGGATGAGATCATGCTGCAAGGGGTCTATAGCTTAAAATAACATTGGAGCTCATTTAAGAATATTGTGATATATCATGTATCGTGATATAGCAAAAAATATATCAGGATATTAGATTTTCCTCATATCCCTCAGCCCTAGCTAGCAGTCATGCTTCTGTCATTCTGCTGCAAAAATTACTGAATATATTCCTGCTGCTGCTTTTGATTAAACTCATAATTAAACTAATCTGTACTGAACAGCACTGTAATAGCAGTGGCTAAGAGCCTTAGCAGTGGCAGCCTTATTTAATTCAAGAATGACGTCAGTATCACATTCAATTCCAATAGTGCATCAAATTATCGTTTTTATTACTGTGTTCTACTTGATTGGGAGCTATATTCAATTTTGAAGTATGGGTTAGTGACCCAGACCTCCAACCTTTAAAGATGGAATTCCAACTTTGGTGGACAATCCAGTTGATCTGCAACTCCAAAATTCTGACAAATGCAACACTGACCTGAAACGTTGGGGTACCTTTTCACATGACCCCAGCGAACCTAAAGTTTGAGCTCTACTAAAAAGTTATACATTCTGTAAATGGGCATGTGTCTAAACCCTTGCTGAACTACTCAACACTCTGCTCAAGTTGCATTGTAAGTAATGCAACTTCTCCCATAGGTATTGTGAAAGTGGTTGTCTAATGCATATGCACACACTTACATGGTGAATACAGGCATGTAAGTGGTGAAAAAAATATAAAGATTTGCAATTCAAAGGCGACTGTCAAAAAAAGTCCCAGTTTTCAGCTGACATGTCATTCTTTCTTATAGTACTGAAGTTACACTTATGTAAAACATATTGCAGTGGTTTAAACTTGGACATGTTTGACTAATATATACAGGATTTGAAACAGGTGTTAAATCTCTTTAATCTGACTGTACTGATATACAGGCCAGGCTCACTGAAGAATTTTAGAGTGAAAGTAATGTACAGCTCTTGAATTCTAGGGCTTTCAGTACAGCAAGTTTTGAGGAATCATCTGAATTCTTGCTGCCGTTACATAATTTAAAACCCTTTTACGCCTGAATTTCAAATGTCTGCCTACATATTTCTTCCTTATTTTAATTGTAAGTAGTTATTTAAATGTCCTGTGAGATGATATATTTACCCATTTATCCATAACAACTGGAACTTTCAATACCCAGCAAGTTATTTTCGCAATTTACTGTCTATTAAACGAGTGTCCCCCGGATTAATTTCACTCTCTGCAGCTGCAGCTGTGAAATTACTGTAATAACCCGATATTGGCTGGAAAGTGCAATGTCTCCCCTTTCAGAAACCGTTGGAATTTGTCAGATAGCGCCAACTGTGGCAGAATTACAGTACTGCAAATTTGGATGTGTCCAGAAAGTGTGACCACTTCTATCCAAGCAGAGACTTTGACAGTTTGAAGGTGTGCAGCATCCATGCATGTTGACACAAAAACAAATCATCATCAATATACTTATAAGAGCAATTGTTGCTCCGTATTTATCATGGAAGAGTTAAAAAGAGCTATTTCATGGCGAAGAAATAGTTGAGTCAAAAAGCGAAGCTCTCAATTTACCGGTCGATCTACATTCTCATCCTCATATATGGTCACAAGCTTTGGGTCATGAACAAAAGAATGAGATTGCAGATACAAGTACCTGAAATGAGTTTCCTCCGCAGTGTATCTGGACTCTCACTTAGAGATAAGTGGAAAATAATGGATGGACTGATAGCCATTTACAATCAACCTGAAGTCCCCTATTCTACAATGAAAAGTTGCCAACAACCTTGAGAAAACCATGAGATTCATTCTTCCCAGGAATTAATGTGCTACCAAATGTTGCCGATCCTCTCAGTAGTGGACATCCCAGCATGTTCATTCCAATGTCTGACCTTGCATTGCTCGAAGCAATTGCCACAAAAAAAAACAAAAAAAAAAAACAAGAACTGCAAGAAGTTATCTATGGGTTGCAAGCCCAACCCAGCAACTCTGCCTCTAGCCTTGGCCCCTCTGCAAAATCAGACCTGATGACATGTTCTATTTGTTTTCTTATGTTAATAGTTGCATGTCCAAGAAGGAGTTGGTAACACACTCGTGTGCTCTGTTCAGTGTTGATTGAAATATAGAAAATATGCTTCGATCATGTGTCCAGAAAGCGTGATGCATTTATACCTGTTTTTGCATACACTGCTTTCCTGATTTAAGTGTCTGTACATGAGGCCCTGATTGCTTCATAATGTTCTGATGCCTGAAATTACAGAACTACAATAGTCTGTGTTCCCTCTTAACCTGTTGGTCTCAGGTTGTCATTCACAATGACAGGGGTGTCAAACTCCAGTCCTCAAGGGCCGCTGTCCTGCAGTGTTTAGATGTGCCACAGGTAAAAAACAGTGGAATGAAATGGCTTAATTACCTCCTCCCTGTGTAGATCGGTTCTCCTGAGCCTTGCTAATGACCTAATTATTCTTTTCAGGTGTGGTGCAGCAGAGGCACATCTAAAAGTTGCAGGACAGCGGCCCTTGAGGACTGGAGTTTGACACCCCTGTCACGAGAGGACCCAAATTTGGGTCCTCTAGTGACAGACAGGTTAATCATAAACTGGTTGTGCATTTTGGCCAACAGCGATAATTGCATTTTGTATTTGCATGTTTAAAGATTAAATTTTGGTATTAAGTAGGATTTCTTACCTGGATAAGGCATGTGGAACCATGGCGAGTTTTTCAGGGCATTCAGGTTGATGTCGGTTCTTGCCGAGAAGCCATACTGATTCGACTTTGAAGGCAGGACGTCAGAGACGGTCAGTAAAAAGCAGATCAGCCAGGCACCACACATTCCAAACAAAGCCTGGAATTTAAGATCAGTGTCAAGAGCATCTTGGTATTATTTAACTTAGGTTATTTTGTGTGACTATATAAAGCTACTGAAGTAAAAAAGCAGAAAGGATGATACATAAAGTAGAAATTCAAGTGGTCAACATTTCCCGTAGATTCACTAATTTATAATACAAGCTAATAAATAACTGTTTGCAATCATGTTGTCCAATAAGGAGGGGGAAAGAATCAGGTATATGTTTCCTTGAAAAAAATGCCTTTCATGAGCTTGAATGTTTTACACAGAGGAGTCCACAAATGGTTTTGATTCTGAGTTCAGTCTCATATGAAAAACATCTTTACAATTAAACCAAGTGTGCATGTACTCTTAAAAATGCTAAACAATTAGCGAGTAATTCTGTTGACATTTTGGATTAGGTTGGAGCTACAACAGCTTTTTATCATATACAAGTACATGCTTAATGATACAACATAACAAAAACAACCACAATAGAGCTGGAGGTTAAAAGGAAAACAAAGGACGCTCATCTCATGATACGTGACTAACTGCCACCTTTTCTTTTCTTTAAAGAGAATCCTGTAGAGCATAATGCCATGCATCATATCATTTAATGGAGAACATAACTCCACAATTTTATGAAAGTTGTTTACATTCTGAAAAACATGTGGTCTCATTTGATGTTATACCTGGCTTCATTTCCTCAACCATTAAGTGGAACATGTTGTGTATTCCCTTGACCTAACTCAGACATGAGTCCAAATGAATAATTCTACAGACATGTTTTAGACTCACAGTTGGGGTTTTTGTCCTGCAGAATCTTGATAATTGCTGCAAGTCTTTGCCAACTCTAAAAGTTGGCTAAGACATATGGCAACTAGATAAACTGAAAAACAGATTGAATTCAAAACTATCAACACTGAAATGTAACTGACTGAAGACTTTTTTTTCCTGAAGACGTTTCTGTCTCTAAATCTTTTTAAATAAACTTTTATTTGTACATTTGCTTTTTTAATTTCTATTCTATTTTTGATCAAACATGTATGTGTACACTCAGTATTATTAACTAAGATTCTTAAATCCTAATTTTGTTTGAATTTCTTATGGATTTTCTCTAATCCTTACACACTTCTCTTAGAATGCTCTGAGAGATTTAGAATATATTTTAACTTGACAATGCCAGGGCCTACTGCAACTACTCAGCAATCAGGACTGAATGCAGCTTACAGTCAACATTAAACTGATTTGTTCAGCATCACCTACAGCTAATACATGGGGTGTATTTATTTTAGCCTAAAGCAATGTTTGCCTTGTGGTGATTAGCAAAATTGCACAATAAATTCCAACTTGAGCACAGTTGTTAAAATGAATTTCATCCTCTCTTACCTGACATTTTTCCAACATATATATATATAAAAAACTTTACTGTGAGAAAAGACAAATACAGAAGATAATCTGAGGCGACTCACAGAAAAGAGCCTGAACAGTGGATATTGGAAAACCTTCCACTTCTTATCCTTGTATGCAACCATTGGAACATGAACTTTGCTGAGGTACTGGGAGAACAGGAGGATGAGACAGACTGTGCTGCAGAACAGAAGACAGGACAAAATGTTCATGTAGACACTGCTCATATATTAATACTCACAATCACATGTCAGAGTTCAAATTTTACTTCAATATGGTAAGCTGATTTTATATATGAAATAGAAAATTAAGGTGACATCGTAGAGAAGTAATATACCCGGTCATGATGCAGCAGAACCCTCTAAATTCCCCTTCATAGACATGTCTCACTAAAACCAGGAAGTTAGAGTACATCACCCCAGTTCTAAAGTCCTTCCACTGGTTCCCTGAAGCTCAGAGAATAGACTTTAAAATACATGAGTTTGTTTATAAATCACTGCATGACTTAGCATCACAACACATTAACACAGAGGTTCCCAAACTGTGGGGTGCGCCCCCTAGGGGGGGGCGCCGTGTCATTGCAGGGGGGGCGGGGGAAGCCGTCTGGATGAGAATAAAAACAAAACATGAACACTGTATGCGCTGGGTTTTTACCTTAGAATGGCCAACTCTCTGTTATTCCTATGTCAATTTGATACAGTAGGGTCTTCCCATATTTGTGTCCTCTGTCACTTTTATCAGCAGTTAAAACTGTTTAATCCATTAATATGTTGTAACCTGTTTTTCCAAGCCGCCTTTAAACGCAACATGAGCGCTACGGCGCTGGGTTTCCACCTGTGAAGGAGACCTGCTGCTGCTGGGCGGAGCTACAGGTGTGTTAGAATCACGGCAGCAAACCAGCAAAACGCAAAGAACTTTTCACAGTTTTTCCCTCCAAACTAACCGACTGAGTTGAGTGAAGCTGTTGGATGCAGGTAATGTTAGCTAAAAGATGACTAGCTAATATCAATACAGAACCTTAAGCTTAACAAGTAGGCTACCGATGTTGGTGTCTATTTTCAGCTACGTACATTCATTTTGCCCCCAAAAAAGTTGAACCCCCCCGCCCCGTCACACACGTCGTTTCAACCAGACAGCCATTTGTAATCCATAGGGGGGACCCAGAAAATGTTTGGAAACCACTGGGGGGGCGCAGAAGAAAAAGTTTGGGAACCACTGCATTAACAACTGGATGTTTTTGTATCCACTCATTTCTGGAGGCCTTACATCCACAGAACCGGAACCAAACATGGAGAAGTAGCACACTGTATGATGTTTTTTTTTTTTAATTATTATTATTTTATTATTTTATGTTTTTATGATGTAAAACACTTTGAACTGCCTTGTTGCTGAAATGTGCTATACAAATACACTTTTGACTGATTGATGTCAGGACTAAGGGTTCAAAAATCTCTCCTTTGTTTTCTCTACACAGTACAGCTTGTGACATTAGCTTTAGTCCCAGTTAAGCTCCAAGGATGAGCTGCATGGAAGGCCACACTTGATAAGAACAAGCAGTTAGGCACCCCAGTATGGTTGCCATAGGAGATTCAAAGATTTCTCGAACAAGTATGAAAGAATCAAATCAACACTCCAGGTATGTTTTTGTTGCGGGAATAACATCATAATATGATGTAAAGCTCAAAAAGGATAATTTTACATAATTAAGAACAACCTAAGTAAGTTACTTGTTCTCACACATTAAAATTATTTATGCAATACTCCAAGAAACACATTTAAGTGATTCCCAAACATGTGAAAATGCTTTGCAGGAAGGTCTGTTTGTCATTCTGATTGTTTTACTGCAGTTTCTTGAGTCTATTGAGGTTAAAACTGTAACTTTTGTAAACAAAAAATATCAATGAAGCTGTGATGAAAGTGAATAGATAACTCTTCAATCCTCCAGGACTGGGAACAACTGTGAAGCCACTCATCTAAGATGCATGCATTTGTTGGCCTCAATGCAAAGACAAAGTAGTTTTATTTATACACATTGGTGTTTTTTTGCATATTTTGTTGTCCATATCCATGTGAATCTATAGGCTAGGGAAACAAATAGCACTTTGTTACACAATAGTGTATTGATGTGCAGAGAAAATGCAAACTGAGTGTCCTCATTTGTGGACTTTTATTTTTTGTCTTTTTAAATTATCCATGTTCAAAGATAAGACAAGGTTATGTTTTTAATGTTTCTCACTAACCCTAAGCTAAAAAAATAATTAAATGCATATTAAAGGAAGTTGAGAGTCTTTAATATTTCTTTTTTATGTCACTTAACAATTTTGCTCCAATTCATCTGTCTGAACTGTTCATTAAAAAAGCATCTCGTGCAAACTGTTGACAGTGTTTTTTTTTCTGTTGTTGTTCCTACACAGTGAAATGCTTTAAGCAATGTGCTTCAAAAACACACCTTTTTTACTCTGTAAAACAATTTTACTCTGTGCATTTTTTTCTTGCTCGTTTTAACTTTTACAACTATTGTCAATTTGTGCACCTTTTATTCTGTGGTCTGTTTTTCTGTGTTTGATTTTAATATACAGCCCTTTGGTCAGCCCTGTGGTTTTTATGTATTGTTTTTTATGCTGTGGTATGGCACCCTACGAGTTTCCATTTAGCCAACAATGCGATATATTTTATCTTTTTAAAATGAAAAACATTTAAGAGTTTAGGATCGTGCCTATGCTGAAGAAAAAAAAGAAAAAAGCAAATAAAAAGCAATGTGCTGCAGAGCGGATCTATTTCTCCAGGGGCGCTGTGTTAATAAGGGGTTTTATATCAGCATAATTCTCCTGGTATTGTCCTTTGTGTCTGTTGTCAATAAAACAACAGATGCTTATTTATTAGGATTATTATTTATTTCTTTTTGTGACAAATATTATAAAACATGCACCACTCAGACAATGTAAGCAATCCATTACCTCAATATTGCTGTGCATCAGCAGTATCTAATTGTTCATGTATGACATTGGACAGGAAATTTGATCTCTAACTAGACTTTCATCTGGATTCACATTTCATGCCATAAAACTGATGACTGCAGATACACATATCAAATTTATTCCACTCTATCAGAAATGAAATGTAATATATTTGGTGGCTGGTTTGTACATGTGCAGATAAAGTCGTGGTGGACATTCACTGAAACATGACCCAGAACAGCTTAGCTTTTTAATCCACAGAAAGAGCTTATTTTGATGCGCTATCATCTAACAAAGGCAAAATTATGAATATATTTGCATAACAAGCAAAAGCCAACCATATCAAATACTGACTGTATCTTAAATCACGTCCTAATCCTCAAACTGTGTTTATTTTTTATTTTTTTGGACCCCAACTTAATTAATTATTTGCAGGCCACAGCAAAGGCAAACTGAGGATGAATCTTGGTAGAAATTGGTAATGATAGCGAAAACAACAGCACAGACTCATCAAGTGCCTGAAAACACATCTGTGTTGTGTTTCAGTTAGGGGTGGATGATATGGAATTCAGGTTTTGTCAGGATATTTTGTGGTATTACTTTGATAACAACAAACATGACCCTAAGAAATATGTATTACTTTAATGACAGTAGCTGTATTTCCATTAACTATAAAATTGTGCAAACTGATACTTGCTTAATGGAAACACAACCATTTTGAAAAACCTCAAATTTTTCGATAAAGTTTTGCATGAGGTGATTTTTCAGCCATATCAAAATAGATTATTTAGCAAAACTGCAATGGAAACACCTTTTGTCGCATCAAACGAGTCGGATGTTACTACTGGCAAAAACGACAAATAAGATGACACAAAGAGGTAGGAGGATGATGGTTTGTTTTTGTTTCTTTCAGATCATGTGAGCTGGCTCCCCCAGAGCTCTCAGCATCACACAGTTCATACATAGTTGTGTTTTTCCACATAAGCAGAATTTGCACACATTTGTAATGGAAACGCCGCTAATTGAGCACATTTGGTGTGACATTTGGGCACATGAGAAACTTAAAATCTCTACAGTAAGAAGGCAAGGCTCTGAAAAGTGTTGATTGAGTGCATCAATGAAACACTCACAGAGCAGCAATTCCCCAGTGACTGCCACATTTCTTCCCAGCCTCAATGAACAGTGACAGGCCGATGAGGGTGATCGTAGGAGCGATAGCCAAAGGGCCGATGTATGTAAGCACGAGGCCGATCAGTCCAGACAAGCCCAGGACAATCTGAACTAGAGAGGCAACCAGGATGGCCCCCTGAATCTGTAGGAAAAAACCAAAGAGGAAAACTTTTGAACTCGCATTCCAGAGAAAGAGATTGTAACTCAGTTAACCACCACTTACAAACATCATTTGCATATAAGGTGTTCCACTTTTATCCTTTTGAACACACTCATAAATATATTTCATACAGTTGAAACTGGCTTGAATACATAAAAAAGGCAGACCTTTTATCACACTGTCTAAAGTTAAATCAGACCAAACTTCTCTTGTTTTAGGTCACTTTGAATTACCAAATTTCTGTTTGCTAAATGCCACAAAAATGAGAGACAAGATATGTCAAAGATTGGTGGGTTTTTCACTCTTAAAATCAGAAGTTTACATTCAGAATGCACAGTTTCCCCCCTGTATTCTATAAATCTGTTGGGCTACCAGACTAAGCATTGCCTGTTTATTTTGCATAGTTTTTTTTTTTTTTTAATACACCTGTAACAGCAATAGTGAAGACATATAAAAATAATGTTTTCAAAAACCTGTTTAAATTGGGTTTATTTATTTATTCATGTATAGTCTCTCTAGGATCCACTCTATGGCGACTGGAACATAAACGCAATGGTGTTCAATTCCAAGTTCAAAACCCAAACAAAAACACTAGGTAAGATTTTGTGTTTTGGCACTGCAGAGCATAAATGGATCTAGTAAATGTAAAATTCATAGACTAAACACCAAATAAAGGAGAAACACTGCAATGACAATTTCTGAATGGAATTAGAAATATCAAATAATAACTCCGATGGAAAATAATACAAAACTGAAAATAATACAAAACTGACAGATCGTGACCAATCCCTCAACATTTTCTAATGAATGAATGAAGCTCAGTGTCTCGGTTTACTGTTTTAACAATAAAAACTAAAATGTTTTTTTTGTTTTTTTTTTGCATTTTGTGCTTTCAAACACTGTAGCAGCTCACTAAATGTGGCTGTACACTCGTGTGTTTGAAAGGTTTCATAAGATACACATAGAAGTGGAAATAGACAATTGTTTTACTGTGTGTGTTTTAAGCTTATAATGTGAGAGAACAATTTTCTATGTTCCAGTTGTTTTTACGACACAGTAAAAACTGAAGTCAGTCCTATTACATCCAGCATATTAACATGAAAGTCCTAAAAAATAGCTTTGTTCTTTCAGTTATGTTGGGCAACATAACTGAAAACATAATGAAGTTAGCAGTCGGTTTGAATTTGGGAAAGATGAATTATTTTGAGCAATTTTTGTGAAATGCACGTAACAAAAAATTTCGTAGCAAATATTTTGATCTATGGTATTGAAAATAACTCTTGAATAAAACGCATTTATGCACAAAATCCTAATTACATATGTGCTGTTTAAATATTTCAATATGTGCAGCTACAGTAGTCTGAGACCCCATCACATAGATTCTTTTTGCTTTTTTTGTTTTTTGTAATTTCCAGCTGAGTAAATAAAGACATCAAGAGCTGAAAAGTATGCAAGTCAAGCTCTCAGCTAAGTCAATAGGGAAAAGAACTTCAAATGTGAACAAAGTATCTTAACTTGGCAGGTTCCTTAATAAATTTACTGCAACAGACAGATTTATGATTATAACCCTGCAGCTTTAAGTATCTTAAACATCACTGCCTCCACTGTCATTAAACACCATACAGTTATAAATCCTGCCAAGCACATTTTTACTTGACGTGTATTATGCAGAAAATCTGGGAATTACAGCCTCGTGCACAGAGAAGCAGAACTGTGTCAAAAAGTGCACAAAGATAAATTCACAGGTAAAAACCTTTTCTTTGGGAACTCTGTGACTGACAGTACATTGACAGGGAGGAAAAAAATCATTGAAGAATAGTCTTGCATAACAGCTCTTACCAAGCTGTAATTTTCAGAAACTTGTTTAAAAGCGGAGTTCATCCAAAATGATGTAGACTCCTGACCAACACTAAGAAAGATTACAAATTATGGAGCTCAATGTGAATTTTCTTAGGGTATTTTGGCTCATGGAATTTGCAATCTGTGCACAGTGTCGCTAATCCATCTGGGAATGATTCCCTTCTTGCAGCGAATATTTTACTAACCTCACGTATTCGTGGCATCCAGATTTCATCTGAGTTTTCCAGTGGCAGTGGACCGGTGCCATTCAACAGCTGCATGGACAGGGTCGCAGGTGCATTTGGGTCTGGACACTGCCATTTCGGCAGGGCAAGAATGGCCAAAGTAGGCGTGATGAAACTGAAAGTCCCTCCCTGAAGGATTGGTAACCTGTAAATCAGTAAAGTCGAGAGTTTACAAGTCAGCAGAGCAGGGCGACCTTAATGGGTGGAACGGGAGGCAAGCAAAGTTAGAGATGGAAGAAGGCTACTTGTTAAGCTTAAGGTTCTGTATTGGCATTAGCTAGCTAGTCATCTTTTAGCTAACATTACCTTCATCCAGCAGCTTTACTCAACTCAGTCGGTTAGTTTGGGGGAAAAGCTGTGAAACGTTTTTTGCGTTTTGCTGGTTTGCTGCCATGATTCTAACACAAACCTGCGTAGCTCCGCACAGCAGCAGCAGGTCTCCTTCACTGCCGCACAGGTGTAAACCAAACGCTCATGTTGCGTTTAAAGGCGGCTCGGAAAAACAGGTTACCACATGTTAACAACGGATTAAACAGTTTTAACTGCTGATAAAAGTGACAGAGGACACAGATATGGGAAGTGTGGTTTCTGTGTCGGGGGAGGAGGTTCCCAACCTGTGGGGTGCGCCCCACAGGTTGGGGACCTCTGCCTTACTGTATATACTATTGTGAGATAGGAATAATAGAAAGTTGGTCATTATGAGGTAAAAATAAAAGAAATAGCTTCCAGTCTAGGGCTAACTCTGGACGGTTAATGCCGCCGACACATAAAATTGAGCAAATTGGAATTATAAAACTAAATTTGCTTAATGGAAATGCGCCAATTAAAAAAAAAAAAAAAAAAAAAAAAAAAAAAAAACAGCAACATGTTTCTTTGTAGGCACTGGCCTCCTTGGACAATGTGCAGTTGGCCCACCAGAGGTCTCAAGCATCGCACAGTGCATCCCAAGTTGTGTTTGTCCACTGCAATTTTGCAAAACGCTTCATAAATACGCAGCTCCTCCCAAGGGGCTTGCCGCTTCATTGAAGACTTATTCACGTGTGATTTTCCTATTAAATGGAAACACAACAATTTCGACATTTTTTTTTTTTTTTTTTTTTTTACTTTAGGGGGGAAATTTAAAAAAATTTTTTAAAAAATTG